TTCAATGAATGATCAAAGGAATCACTTGTTGTGTTTTTCTTGACAACCGAAGCCGAGAAGTAAACTTAAGCGACTTTATTTGAATGAGAGTTAAAGTTTCAATGAATGATCAAAGGAATCACTTGTTGTGTTTTTCTTGACAACCGAANAGTTAAAGTTTCAATGAATGATCAAAGGAATCACTTGTTGTGTTTTTCTTGACAACCGAAATCGAGAAGTAAACTTAAGCGACTTTATTTGGGTGGGAGTTAAAGTTTCAATGAACGATCACTTGTTGTGTTTTTGGACAAACGTAGTGATCAAATGGAAACCAGGCTTACTCTATCATGTCGTGTGTTTATGATAATCTGTGTTGTTGTCCTAATGGGCGGAGCTTTCGGTAGTTCTGATCTTTCTACTGTGAAGCCGCAGAGGCACTAAATATSCAAAAGTCAAGGCTTTCAACATGGGTTATGAAAAATGTCATTTTTACCAAAGATGTATTTATCAAATGATAGTAAAATGTATCTATGAAAAAAAGTTTAATAATCAAACAAACATTTCCCGATGAAACCTAATTGATATTTTCGAAATTCGAAGAGAATTTAAATCCTGAATATGAACAACCATGTTTCACATACAAATCTTTTCTTAAAAAGGCTTACCAAAAAGCGTATTTTTACATGGAAAATATTTACAGAAATACTCTTGCTGAAAGCTAGAATTGTTGTTTGGTATTTCAGCAACAAAATCCCGATGAAACCTAATCGATGTATGTTTTAGATTCTTCAATTTAGGGTTTTATTAAGTTGGGTTTTGAGTTTTTCCAAGGAAAGTTCTTTGTAGACCCTAATTTGCATCTCATTACACGGTTTGAATTTGGCGCGTATGGTATAGTAATATCCCGGATGATGTCGCCTCATTCTGCCCGATGGATACGAGATTAAAGAAATCCTGTACTTTAAAAAATCTTTTAAGAATTGCCTTTTTAACGCTGAGATTCAGAGGCAGATGCATGGAGTTAAGTTTTCGGATATAAMTATTTCTTGACACTTGATTCTGGTATCTGCTTCTGAATCAGAGTAATTTATTCCAACAATTTAGCTTCTTACTTTTTTATTTTTATCTCTTAGAATTTGTTTCATTAGGGCTTTCGAATTTTTGTAAAATTAGATCAGTAATTMGAAATTATTTTGGCCCGATTTGGGCCTCGGGTCCCGGGTGTATTCTGCTACCGTCAGTGCATTTTGAGTTTTGCGCTGCACAAATGGTGTCTTAGATTCAATAATTAGATTTRATAATTCATCACTTATTTTATCTTGTACATAGCTTTTAGTATTATGTGTTATTTTATAATTCTTAAGTACTTTGTAGTTTAATTATATGTATGAGGGCCACTAGTTGATCAGTTATCTTTATGTACTGTTAAGTGTTAGAGTACAAACACTAAAAGTGTGCAACATAAATATCACTAAATAGTGTTATTTTATGCTAATTATATTGTTTTCTTTTGTATAATTMGTGCTATTTACTGGTTTATAGTACACTCAAAATTACTCGACTCTGATTGGTCGAGAGGAGTACAATTATAGCGTYAATTGTACTCCGTAGGAGTACCGAATTAAGTCGCTATGGCAACAAGGCCAAAACAATGTCAAAGCAACTTTTTTCTATCATTTTGTACATTTTGTAAAGCCGTAAGAACTAATCTTTTTTATGCATTCCTATACAAATAGTCCGGAAAATTTTCGAAAAGCAATTAAGCATTGACGGGCTCACACAGCACGCTGGAATTCAGAAGAATGCGATGACAGATGACAATAGTGATGAATAATCAAGGTTAARCAACATTTACGTCCCGAACTGTCCTCATATTTCAGGCTCGAGATTAAAATACCTAAAATGTTTYAATGAAAATGAAACTKTTGACATTATGTTGTCAACATATCGCAGTAAACGTTRAAAAACTTTGAAAAAAATTCATCGAGTAGTTTTGAATTTACGAACATGTTAATTAATCTCGAAAGTGTTACGGAGATCCTGTTGTTTCTTGSCCGTGAGAGATTGGTCACTAGTACTTATATGTGGATGCATTCAGTCTCTAGCTGGTATATCGTCTACTGGTCAGCGGTTTCACTACCGGTCATCATATGCTGTTAGGGTTACGCCTTTTGATGGTGTCGTGTTTCGCTGGCCTGTTTGCTTCGTGGTTGTTGTGAATCGGTGAAATCTTGAACTTTGTGCTTCTTTTGTAGTATAATTCGAGGTAAGTTTGAAATAAATGGTAATGTGGAATGCAAATTTTTTTGTAAGTGGAAGTATTCATCAGGGCATAGTTAACTATGATCAGGGTAACGATCGTTTTAGCGACATTTCTAGAGAAAGACAATGTGCTTTTATGAATCTTTCAGCTTTGTTATGTGCAAACTCGTTCCTTCTTTCACGATGGACGACACAGACGATCGATGATATATTGATGAAGGGAGATGCTATGTACGTAAAAGCCTTTGAAGAACACACTATACCAGATACAGAGACGATATCGCTGACTTATTTACAGGATCGAGCCCGCGGGTTTCCAGTGGAAATTCGCTCAAATCCAACGATTCCCTCGCCCGAGGGCTTTCAGCTTTGCTATGTGCACACTCGTGCCTTCTTTCTCAATTGACGACAGACATGATCGATTATATAATTGCTTCGGGGTGAAGAATTAGTACACTATACCAGATGCAGRAACCATTTCGCTCAATTCTTAGTCAATTCATTGCCAATAATAATATAATAATAATGATAATAAACTTTATTTAATGTTGGTAACCCGTTTAGTCAGAGACTAATCTACCACTGGGCCTTCATTACAATTTTTGTGGCTTAACTGCTTCGACAGAAGCGTAGCCATAATGTCATCGTGTTGAGTGCTTGAGTGAAACACCAAAGGAAGMCCCAATCGAATACCGAATTTATCCTGATATACTTTCGGATATTGTTCGGAGCCAATCAGATCGTCTTATCGACGGCGACGTGTCCAATGCATCGTTATCTATTTTCAGGATCTTTGTACGACACAGGGGCGGCGGAAGCTAAAAATCTTTGGGTGGGCACTGCAAAAATCTTTGGGGGGGGGGGGGGGGCACTGAAGATTATATTTAACGCTATGTGATATAAATGACAATGTTTTGTTTGATTGCAGACGCATGCGCCGTAAAACAATGATTAAGAACCAACATTTTTTGGGGGGGGCCAGGCCCCCCAAAACAATTGGAGTAGGCACATGCCCCCCCSGSCCCCCCGGTTCTGCCGCCCCTGTGACATCTTGCCACACACTTTTGTCGTGATTGGATTCTAATTTTTATGGAATTTAATGCAAGAACCAGCCAAAGCTTTGAAGAAAAAAACTCAAAATGTGTTTATTCGAAGAAGATATATATGTACTTATAATGCAAATTAACGCTAAAAGATACATATGATTTTCAAAGTGAATTTTGACATTCTGTAGAAATTTTCCACCAGATCATAATGACAGTCAGGAGTCCCTTGCTCGAAGCGTTGTGGTCGCTACTGTCTCTTGACGTTATGCATCGTAATATTTACAATAAGTTACGCTTAATTTTGCATCAATATAACAGCCAGGAAAAGCTTTTAAGGATGTAAAATGCTCATTCGTTGTGAGTTTTTAAGGCATTTTAGCAGCCTGAGAAGCTTTTAGTATATTGGTGTTCATAGGCAGCTTCTGTGACTGTGATGTCGAATGATTTATAAAGTTGAATAATTACAGGAACCCAATCAATGCACTTCTGTATTATTACAAAGAATGTATGGGAAATACTAAATAGCTCGAAATTCTTAAGAAGTTATAAATAAAAATCGGCATACTCTATATGGTGTTTTCATCTAGTTGTCCTTTGATTCCGTACGCGATTTCAAGCCATTTGGACGGCTTTTTATATAGCCTTTTTATTGTCCTCAATAATAATAAGACCATAAAAAGGGTAAAACTCGTCCAAATGGCTTGAAATCTTGTACAGAATCAAAGGACAACTAGATGAAAACACCATATAGAGTAGGCCGATTTTTTTATAACTTCTTAAAAATTTCGAGCTAWTTAATATTTTCCATACATTTTTTGTAATTGTACAGAAATACATTGCTTGGGCTTCCTGTGGAATAATTTCCTTCTGGGCCGGGAAAAAATGTCTCTCAAGTAATAGCGCAGCGCGCTGATTCTAAAAATAGCTTAAAKATTCGGACAAACATTGCATTATGTTTAACTGCTACGAGGATTATACGAACCGATTTTATTATTTTTACTTAAGTCACAATAATAACCCATGTAAACTAAGATCAACTGCGATCGGCTGTGAAAGTTATCTGCTGAAAGTAAACTTGTAAGTTTGTTTGTCCGAATTTCGCCTTTGTCTTCGTTTTTACGACGCTGCGCTGCGCTATTGCCATTTATAGGAACGATGGGTACAGATTTTTTTTTTTGTTCTTTTTCATAAATAACTGCTAGGATATTTACGTTTTAGTGCTATATGTTTTGTCATGTAAAATACGATCCAATACACCTTTCCGGTAATGTTTGGAAACGAGGTTCCATGGCTAACGCGCGCCTGCTCTTSACAGGTATTTTAAACATTCCAGATATATTTTCTCATGTAGATGTTTCACATCACAATTTATATTTATTAAATTCCCCTTTTTTCTCTATATTTGTATTGTTTTATTTCTTAATTTTCGTTTATACTTTTCATACATCCACATTATTTTGTAATATAGCAGTAGCCACATGCAGTCTTTGACTGCCTATTTTTTGTTTGTTCTTTACCGTGACCATTGAGTTCGGCACATCAATGTTTTGTTAGTTGGTCATCGTTTTTCTTTGTTTCATGTAATAATAGTTTTTGATTGATTGTTTCAAGAAAACATTTCAAATTGTTGTTATATATTAGCCCTTTTGCATGTCTTCTTGTTCTATGTCTATTGCGTTACAATATAATTTCACCTGTCGCAGCACTTCACTTTCAATAGAAACCGCTAGTCATAACAATATAGTCAAAAAATACAGCTCACATCGGACTTTAGTACCCAATATTTTTGAATATGCAACGACTTCTCCTAATCTTTTCCCATCACTACAAAGGAGTTTACCAGCAGCTTCAAATAAGATTAGGAAATCAAAAGATTCAAGTGAACTACTTTTCCACGACGTTACTGAAATGTTTTATTTTTGCAAAATTTCTATGCTTCAAAACTTCAAGGTCAAATTTCGAAAACGGCTCTCACAGATTTTTCTTCAAATTTTCTGAACCGTGAGCAAAGTAGAAACTTAGGTCACAAAATGGAGAAATGATGAGTCGTAAAGCAAACGCACCAATACTTAATAGCTGTTTAATATTACAGTCCGATTTTTGTAAACACATGCTCCTTCGAAATTTTCATCTTTCCTTTAAAAAACCTCCAAAAGATTTCCCCCCCTAATGTATTGTTAGCGTCCAAAGCGTCCGCGTATTTGCTATTTGAAGTTGGAAGGTAGCGAGCCAAGAAAATCCCACGGAGCCACCCTTATATGAAGTAAAAAATACTTGAAAACTATATAAGCTTATGTACAAAGAAAATATATAGTCTCCTCCGCAGCGGTCATTAGTTTCGGTCTCAGCCGAAACTAATGACGGCTGCGAAGGAGACAAGAGAATATATAGTTCTCAATGTTCGATCTCTTATTTTTGACTTCGGATCAATTGACGCTCCTAACGTCGAAACGTCGTCTACATGTATCGCTTACCTTCGCAATAAAATGCTTTAACCAAAATGTTCTTATTTGAAATTACAATTCTCCTTTCATATTCTGTCTAAAATGCGACCAAATTTTCAAGTTTTATTGTCGCAAGCTTTTAGGGATTTGATTTCGGTTTCGCCAATTCGTACTTTACAACCAGCAAAATTTTTAGGTCGACTGATAAACTAAGTTCTCGAATATCTTACCTTTGAATTACCCWGAGTTTGATGTTCTTAGCTTCAGCATAAGTATGATACTCGAATAGGTGTTTTCCCGGAAAAAAGTTCCCTGCTGCTTCAAGGAAATAATGGAACTTGAATACTTGATTTCCAAGAAAACATGTCACACAATCCCGCGTTGACGTTTTGACCGTTACCAAATTCTTACCAAGCTTAAAAAAATAAAGAACTACGGATTTATTCACGCTATTTCAAATAAAAATTCAGTTTGTTCATCTTTCTGCGCAATTTGGCTTTCTTGGTAAGGAATTATTAAAGAATTTCAGGACTAGTGAATAATAATTAGGGGAATTTACCTTCGAAGCGTGACGTCTGACATCATATAATTTCCCCGA